ATAGTGTAATTAACTGCATGAAACAGGGCAATGATAAAACTTTCAACGATTTTAACACAGAACCTAGCGACCGATAATAGTAAGTTAGTTTGCCAGTGCCTTTCAACTTCATAATAACCTTTATCACAAGAATGCTGAGTTATGGGCAAAAGTACCCCAGGGGGAGTCAAACCCGCACCTCACGCTTTCCGGGCGAGTGCGCTATCCGTTACGCCACCAGGTTCGACTCCCGCCTGGGGCACGACTTTTGCCCATAACTCAGCATTCTTGTGATAACATTCGGAACGCGAACTGCGGCGTTAAACAGCAGTTATCATAACATAATAACCTTTTTTCTATCCTTCCAAACGTTCAGATTCTTTTTTTTTTCATTGAAATGTCATGCTATTTTTTATTCAAGATGACAAACTGATTGGTGTGCACTGCACACACGGCTTAAATCGTACTGGTTATTTGATATGCCGGTATCTCATCGATAGAATGGGCTGGACAGCTGAACGTGCTATATCGCGTGAGTTGCTGTACTCTAACTTTTCATATGTATCAAATTACCGTTGAGGGGGGAGGGGCTGATGAAGAAAACTGGTGAATACGTGAAAGTGATTGCGCTTTGCCTTACTAGTAAAACTGGTGCAGTTCGGTGGCGGGGAGGCACTCAGCACTTTTGTTACTCCCACGTGTGGACCCGTCAAGTGAAAGTGATACCAGTCAAAGTTTGTAGAGACTACTTGTCAACTCTTGTATAGCACTAAACACAGCACTGGGAAGCAGCAAAAGGGCGAAACCCACCCCCCCCCCGCGGTTGCCCCTGGTTCCGTTTTTTCTTGAGCTGCGCCGATAAAATTATTTGTATCGTGAACCTGGAGTTTTTCCTTTCGATACCTTCCATTTTAAGTGTTCGAGTTTTCGCGAGGCCACCCTATAGAACGAGGACATTACAAGAAGAGTTTATATGACGCCGAAAAACGGATAGCAGAGGTAAGCCGATTTTGAGCATTTTTTGACTGATCTGAACTTCCAAGGTGTTAGTAGCCTTCGTGAATATTCCATGGTTTCCCTTTACTCTTCGGCGCTAACGCAGTTGGAGCAGGGAAACCATTCGCCAGCGCCTCTTACTTCCTATCGCTTCCCCAAAAATACCTAGGCCTGGAACGCAGACCAGAGCAGATTCGTCAATGATAATCACGTAGTGAACCCATAGTCTCCACTGAGTTTACGTTTTGATTAGAGCGATGCGCTGGCGAGTGGTCTCCTCCCCCAACTACGTTAGCGCCCACTCTTCTCAGTGATTATCTTTTTGCATAGCCAGTATGTTACATTTTACACTCTAGGGATCGTCACCTCCTTCATCACCTAGAAGCATTGCTGAGCAGACAGTTTAGAACTAAATTATTCTCCCTGGCTTGAATCTTTGATCGTGATTGGTGATATCATGTTTTGCCTCTAGGCACATATTTTTGGTAACTATTTGTACAGTTGTTGATTTTTGTTAAGTGTGCACCGATCCAAACTGTACCCAAATAATCAACGGGCACCTCATTTTGTCTCCGATGGTATGAGTTGAGGTGTTGTGTTGCTCATTCTGCAAGCTTCATAATTTACTCGTTGTTTTTGTTTTTGCAATGTTATGAACTTGAAAGAGTTCTATGAAATGAAGTGTCTTTATGATTCGTAACACTTGAATGGCATAATGAATCGTTGCCATTTTGTAATGTAATTCAGCGCTCAAAATGAAGTCGTACCTCGTACGAAGATGACATCCAATTGGCAGATTGACCTTCCCTTTGGGGATTTCGAATCGGTAAAGATTAGTGTCATGAGAAAGAGGAGTGATGTCGACTAGGAGGAATTTCCTGCAATAGATCCATGAAAACTGCTATTCACTTCATTAGACTTCATTGCGATTCTCTCTAGCCCTGTGGACCCCCCCCAACGAACTAGCCAGTAGGACACATCGTATGTTAGGGCATGAGCGGGAGGCGAGGTACCTGACCCCTGAACGAAAAAGGGTCGCAACCACTTCTGAGAAATATGTCCCCTCCCTCTTCGCTCGACTGCAGTTTTTTTTGCGAAAGTTTGCATGGGAGAACTTTCGAAAAGAACTACATAAGTGGTAAGATGTTGGAAAAAGTTAAGAAGATGGTAGATAGAATGGGGATGGGGGACCAAAGGAGGGAATCTCGAGGGGGTTGAATCCAGCAAAAGTTTTCCCAGAGGCAGGACGTGCCCTGCTAGCCACGTAGCCATACTACTCCCTCTTCCCAAAGGCTTACAGTGGTGATCCATGCAAATGATTGGGGTGTTTGACGCGGCGCGGTGGGGAGCGCAACCACAGCGGCTTTGCCCTCATCCTGA